ACACAACACAAATGTTGCTAGTGTTTGCTACAAAAATAATGAAACGCCAGCCTACCATCATGTCAGGAGTTTCTTGTGCATAATCTATCAAGGTGGCTGGGTAACATGCAAAACATTTTGTAAGGTCATATAAAGCATTCAGGGTACAGGGCTTCAGTCAGCAAAAGACTTTGCTTTCTGTCCAGTGAAAATGTGAAAGACAGCAAAAAAGCATGATAGTCAGCTGAGATATGATGGCATGAATGTGCTTTATGTTCTCAATAATCCAAACTGGTATATTCCAGAAAATTGTTATACAAATATTGCAGCAATCAAAGTGGTCTTGTATTTGCTTGTGACTTATGTAATGTGACAAAATATTTAGGTTGATTGTTATTTCCATCTACCCCTAAAGTTTTGTAGATGCTTCTGGCATTGATGTGTTTACGGCAGAAGTTTTTCTAGATTTGAGCATTTTTTATAGAACTACCAACCAAGCCTATTCTTTTATTTGCTATTTCCTTCTGTCACATTTTTATAGGAATATTTTTCAAACATTGTAAAGATGCTGATAGTTATAGTCATTCATGAAGCAAGAGGATGTTTTATGAGTCCTGTTTCCCCCAAGAAACTTCAACACGAGATGTAGCAGGTGTTCTCAAGCAAGAAACAGCAAGAACCTTTTTTTGGTCAGCTTTAATTTTAAAGGCTTTTTTTATTCAGCTAACTGCTAAAACGACTGCTTTCTGGGTTCTATTTATTTATTTATTTATTCAATCATTTCATAGATCTTTTTGATCTCTTTGCTAGGAGTTTTGGATCATTGGCAACCTTTTTTCTCTTTACTCTTGCTAGCCCTGCAGGTCCCGTCTCAATGTAGGAGACTGACTCTCTCCTCAAGCATCACTGTTCAAAGGGATGCTCAGCAGTTTTTGAGAGGTGCATAACTGTCAGTAAAATCAGTACTGTCCAGAAGTGTATTACAGTACTCTTCGTGTACATATCTAAACAAAATTGAACAACTTTAATCTCAGATTGCACATTCAATTTGTAGGGCTGAAAATGAAAAGGAACGTCTATTTATTTATATCCTAAGCACATAGGAAGATCATAGGAATAAACATAAATGAGATCTGCAACGCAAAGAGTAAAATTAAGTAACTCTGCTGTGGTAGAGATTGAAACTGTTTCAGTTCCTATAAGGATGAATTGTGCTTTGTAGTGATTGTCACACTGTTGACCAGAGAGGAATGTGAGACAACTGATTTAAAGTAAGGACATACTTCTGGGATAGCTGAAACAAATGGGATGACAGTCAACCTAATAAATTTAAGAGTCTAAGTCCAATTTTTGAAAAGAAACATATAGTGGAACTTCTATCCCTAAGTCAACTCCAAGAGTGGAACTTGAGTTCTTGCCATGATGAAAAAGATGCCTAAAAATACCCCAGTGATTTATAAATATCTTTCCTGCTCTCCTAGAGCTGTTAGTCCTCTTATAACTTTGAAAATGATCTTTGAGTTTCTCAGTTATTGAGTTATCAAGAAGGGACTCAATTAATATCTGGTTCTATCCAAGAGAGGATTTACTCAAACTGTTCCTGACAGATACTTTCCTAACCTGGTCTCAAAATCCTCCTGTGACAGAGATTCCCAAACCTCCCCAGGCAAACTATTACTGTACTTGACTATCCACATCAATAGTGAGCTTTTCCTAATGTGTAATGTAAATCTCCCTTGCTGTGGTTTAAGCCTATTACTTGTCCTGTCCCTTGTGGACATTTCATAGCCTTTCAGACATCTGAATAGCATTATCATGTATTCCCCCATTTGTCTCTTTTTAGACTTAGTTGAGGCTAAAAAATTTCCCCTTAGGCACTGTGAAAATTTTACCCAAAGCCAGCTTATAAAGAACTGCTTTGTTAATGCCTTTATCAAATAGCAATTTCAGGATAAAAGTGTAATGTAATGGCATGTGATGGGAAAGTCCAATACAACTGCGTCCACTTCAGAGACATTATGGTTGATATGGAGGTCTGGGGTTGTAGCACTTGCCCAGATTTTTGCTTGCTGAAATGTCAGTGCTGGGATATCTAAAGTCTTAGTAAATAGCTATCTCATTCTCATTCAGGTTACTTATCTGGTGTATTGCAGTTAGAGCTTACGTCTCTGCAGAGCACTGCCAGATGTACTTAACAGCCTGCTCCTGGCAATTCAGCACCTTTTTTAACACTGCAGGCTTTCTGAAGCAAGGTCTGCCTTATCACCTTATGCAGCACTATGCAGAATGAATCCTGACCAATTCACTGACCAGCTCCAACCAGATTCATTTACGATGAAAAACAAGTGTAACTGCTAAGTGATAGTGTTGTCTCTCCTGAAGAAGTTTCCACTCTGCGTACACCATTTTTTTTCCTATCACTTCTGACTGACAAGATCTTCAAAGTTTGTATTCATTTTCTGGCATTTCAGTTAAAGGGCATGACAAAGAGTTTGTGCAGATCTTACTTCTTTATATTTTTAAAAGTTGCAGTGATGCTTACTGCGATAGTCAGCTGAATGAAACGTAACCTGAAGAACACTCATATCATGCTTACCTCTCTTTGGGTCTCAGAGACCAGTGAAGGAGGGGCAGGGGGACTGCCAAAAAAGAACACCTTACACTTACGGCCATCAACAACAGCAGAAAGAATTTCCATTTTGAGGTTCTTCTTTGAATATATACCTAATGTTTGTATGTGTCAGCTTTGCTGATATAGCATCTCAGGTTTTAAATTAATATTCTTGTAATGGATTTTTCTTTAATTAAAAAAGAGAGCTCCCCCATAGGAAGTTTCCTAAAACAAAACTCATTAGTAATAAGCAGATAAAATCTTTATCAGTTAATCAACACTACAAACTTCTGACAGTTCTGAGAGCGGCGTGAGATAACACTGTCGTCATAATAAGAGCATTTGAAATCATTAGGAATCCCACTGAGCCATTTGGGTGGTGTGAGAATAATGATAGAGGGATGGGCCCCCTGCAGAACTCACATGTGAATTCCCCTAAAGATTAAAGCAGCAAAAATCTTGCTTTTGTCTTGGCTCCATCTTTAAAACTTTTTTTTTTTTTTTTTTAAATAATACACAGCAATGAAGAGCAATACAAAGAAAATTCTTAATGCTGCTGATACCAGAACCTGGCATGATGCCACAAAATTTTTGAGCAGGTGGTTAGTGAAATTTTAGGGACTTCTCAGGGATGGGAGCATCTCTACTGTCTCTGAGCTCTTCTTCCCAGCTGATCTCTCTGAGGATTTAATCTTTGGTGGAGACTGTAAATTCCTCACCTTTCCTCCATCCTCAACACAGTCACATCTGCCACTCTTCTTCTTTGCAGGACTATGGAAATCTTCTTAACATGCATGTCAGGGAGTTCTGCTCCATTCCAGCTTTCCTGAGACAGGGAGCACAGACTGCTGAATGGATGGTAGAAAGTATCTAGCTTTGGGCAGGGGACTTCTTTGAAGAGTGGTGGGAAGAGCAGGGGCATGATGGAAAAGGACAGCACAAGCTTGCAAAGTATCAACACCACCTAATCTGATACCATCAGGCACTTGCAGAAAGCTATGCTGTAGAGATACTGATATTTTCTCTGTCATTGCTAGTGATGTGTCAGTGCCCCGTTGCCACCCTGGAGATCCTTTGAAGCCATTGGGATTATTTGGGTTCTTTCTATGAACTTTGTGAAAAATAAAAGTATGTGGGCTGGAATAAAATGGTGAGGAAAAAAAATAGTGGTTGTCCACATCCAGCAAACTTACTGGAATGGATTACCAGGAAGTTATTAGAGTGGGGGCAGCAACTTGGAATTGTATGCAATTGTTGTATTTTCATTTCTCATCTTTTGTCTGTATTTGGTCACAACAGCAGTAATTTCATTTGCTTTGTTACAAAAGGGTGAATGTAAATCAGGGTTGGTTTGGTTTTTTTTTGGTGGCATGACTTACAGCAGCAGTAATGACATTATCAAATGTGTTAGGTTTTGAAGGTTAAGTGACATTGTTGCCTTCTGAGATCTAACTTTAAAGATTGTGATGGATTGCAAGTGAATGGGCCATTCTCATTTTATTCCTCCTATACTTACCTTGTATTACAAAGCATAGCCTGCTTGATAGCTGCCTGCTCTACAAAACCAAGAGTGCCAGCTCCTGCCTCTTCATTAGAACTGAATCCATAGACAGCTGTGAAAAAAAACCCAGCCCTTATGGATGGTCCTATTTAAAGGCTTGAATTGAAAGGTAGTAATTAATTTCAGAGCCACTGGGGCTTCTCTCTGTTTAGAAGTCTTCAGCTTAGAAACTTCACTTTTCTGTCCCTCATACCAATCTGACCTCTGAGTAAAAAAACAAAACAAACAAACAAAAAAAAAACCCCAAAATATCCCTTTCTTTTCCTTATATTGTGGTATGTCTTCTTGTAGTGTATTTTCAAGCAGACTTTCTGGCAGTAAATTGTTTGTAACAACTTCCTTTGTATTCATAATTACAGTCAGCTCTGTCACCTGCAAATTAGAACCCTTTATTAAATACCTTTATGAGATGCTAGGTACAGATTTACTGGGAGGGAAATGAGAGGATAAAAGCACTTTGATTCTTATTAACAGCCACATAATGCATTTCTGTACCACGTGGTACAGAATGCCTTTGAATGTTGTTTGTGCATTTGGAGAAAGAAACATGGGTACTTTTTGTTTCATTTTTATAATACTGGAGTGAAAGATCACTGTCAAGAGTCTAAGTGTCCTGGCCTGGCAAAATGAGCTGATTGCAGGGAATGGTGTCATATGATCCGATCCTTCTGATAATATAGCTTTTTTACATTAGTCTTCCTGTCATACATACACTGAGTGGGTGACCTTCAGTTCCCAATGGCAGGGTCTTTAACTTGCTGTCACAAAAGGAGAATGTGTCTTGTAATGATCACCATTTACCTATTTATCCTCTCCTTATCTTTTTTCTTCTCTCTTTTTACTTTCCAGGATGGAGTAGGTGTAGATGAGAAGCTGTCTTTACGGCGGGTAGCCGTAGTAGAAGATTTCTTTGACATTATCTATTCCATGCATGTTGAAACTGGGCCTAATGGAGAACAAATCAGAAAACATGCTGGACAGAAGAGAACATATAAAGCAGTAAGTACAAAAAAACCCAACAAACAACCAACTAAAAGTAAACATCAGTCTCTAAACACATCAATTATTTGGATTTAGTCATATGACATGCAATTTGTGGTGTTTTTTTGTTGTTGTTGTTGTTTGTTTTTTTTCACGCTTAGGTTAGTATTGCAAACTTCAACCTTAAATTTATTTCAGAGACACTTCAGGAATGCATGCCAAAATACAGTTTGGAAATCAGGAAGGCCAAACTTCCTACTCATTGGATCCTGGGCCAGATCCATTGTCTTCAGATCCATTGTCTTCTACTCATACTGGTAGAAGAATAGAATTTATTATTTTCTATACTGGCTTGACACTTTCTCAAATAACTATATTAACAAATTGTTATTAAATTAAAGAAGTCTGAAAGAAGACTTAAAATGTATTGAGACAACTTTGCTAAATGGAATGTTGTATTTCCACATATGAAGTTTCCTTGTAATTTATTGCTGCTGACTAAATATTCTTAATGGATTAACGGTTTGAAAACTCGTATATTTCTGGAAGTTTTCATGCCACAGCTGCTCCCACCCTGCCTGGGACACATATCCTTCACAGATGGTCCCAGTGGAGATGGGGGTGTCAGGAGGGTGGCTGAGGCACGAAGGTGAGTCCCTGAATTGAATTTGAATTGTCACCCTGAATACAGAACTCTTAACCTTAAAAGTGATCTGCAGTTGTGCTGATCAGTAGTGAGCCAGCCGTGTGCCCAGGTGGCCAAGAAGGCCGATGGCATCCTGGCTTGCATTGCAAATGGTGAGGTGAGCAGGACTAGGGAGAAAAATCCTGCCCCTGTACTCAGCACTGGTGAGGCCCCACCTAGAGTACTGTGTTCAGTTTTGGGCACTTCAGTACAGAAAGGACACTGAGGTGCTGGAGCAGGTCCAAGGAAGGGCAACAAGGCTTTGTGAAGGGCTTGGAGAATATGCCCTATGAGGGGTGACTGAAGGAACTGGGGCTGTTTAGTCTGGGAAAGAGGAGGCTGAAGGGAGACCTTATTGCTCTCTTCAAACACCTGAGAGGTGATTGTAGCGAGAGTGGGGTTGGTCTCTTCTCGCTGGTAGCAGGTGACAGGATGAGGGAAATGGCCTCAAGTTGCCCAAGGGGACGTTTAGTTTGGATATTGGGAAAAACTTATTTACAGAATGGGTAGTTAAGCACTGGAATAGGCTCCCCAGGGAGGTGGTTGAATAACCATCCCTGAATGTGTTTAAAAACCATTTGGATGTGGTGCTCAGAGACATGATTTAGCAGAAGGTTGTTAGGGTTAGGGTAGCATGGTTAGGTTGTGGTTGGACTTGATGATCTTTAAGGTCTTTTCCAACCTGAGGAATTCTATGATTCTAATGATTCTAACCATTTTTTAGCGAAAGGCCAGCAAATGTGTGGGCACTCTAGTTTTCTGACATCTCAAACTTTAGTTGTAAGAAATAACTGTTTCTCCATTACTATTTTTTCAGGTATATAACAATCTTTACTATTTCTCTTTGAATCCCTTCACAAATATATTTTATTTATTGTCCATTTCAGACAGTTTGTTGTGTGATAAGCTCCTGGCAAGGTTTCTCATAATTTGTTCCCAGCTGTATTGACCTCAACATAGTCGTATAAAGGAAGACAGCAGTCATCTGGGTGTGCTTTGTATGGCTTGGAGTGATATTTCAGCATTAACAAACACAAACTGTCTAAATTAATTTTCATCTGTCACCTCAGCCATTTTGATACTTGGTCTTGTGTTTTAGAAAGCATTAGAAAAGTTGACCTTTGTCTCTGTTTTGTTTTACTTTGGTAAGCTGTTCAAATGTATAGGTCACAAAGTTTGTAGAATAAGATACAGGTATAAGGAAAAAGAAAGAAAAAAAGACTCCAGAACAAACTAATATGAATTCTTGCTGTCTGTCCCAAGATAAGAATTAGGCTAAATAAATTGGCCTCAAACTCTTGCAGACTAACTAGGGGAGCACATGCTGCTTTACTGGCCCTGTCAATGAAAATATTCTCACTAAAAATGATACGCAGTAGTGTCAGTCTGTTCCAGAAAGCCACACAGTATCTCCTTCTGTGATGCAGCAGAAGTAAAGAGGTAGTGTCTTGATTAATAATCTTGTAAAAACGATACCCTAAGAGCTTTATAAATCAAACAGAAATATTTTGGCAGATCTTAATTTTATTAAGTGAATTGGAAACATGATTAATTTAGTCTTGCTTCTTTATTCACAAGTCAAAAGTGAATCATCCTTGACTTCTGTGAATGTATATATTATGCATAAGCATTCAGCAAATAGTTTGAGTGAACAATTTTTACAGGGATGGCGCTTCATCTCTACAATTGCAGCTGATACAGCAGAAGGAAGGGTTGCCATCCAGAAGGATCTTGAAAGATGGACCCTCATGAACCTAATGAGGTTCAACAAAGCAAAGTGCAAGGTTTTGTACTGCGGTTGAGGTAATCCCAGATATGTATACAAATTGGGAAAATAAATCCTTGAGAGTAGCCTGTCTGAGAAGGAGTTAGGGATCCTGGTTCATGAAAAACCTAAAATGAGCCAGAAGTGTGTACTTGCAGCCTGGAAAGGTCAATGGTATCAGGGGTTTCATCAGAAGAGGGGTCCCTGCAGGGCGAGGGAAGTGAAAGTAGCCCTGCATTCTGCCCTCATGAGGCCCCATCTGCATCCATGTGTGGGGCCAATACAGGAAAGATGAGAAGCTGCTGGAGAGGGTCCAGAGAAGGGCCATGGAGATGGTCAGAGGCTGGAGCATCTCTCCTATGAAGACAGGCTGAGGGAGCTGGACTTGTTCAGCCTGGAGAAGAGAAGAATGTGAGAAGACCTCATTGCAGCTGTCCAATATTTAAAGGGACTTTATAATCATGAAGGAAATAAACTTTTTATATGGGTAAATAGTGATAGAACAAGGGGGAATGGATTTAAACTAAAGGAAGGGAGATTTAGGTTAGATGTAAGGGGCAAATTTTTTACTGAGTGGTAAGGTGCTAGAACATGTTGCCCAGGGAGACTGTGGATGCCCTTTCTCTCAAGGTTTTTAAGGCCAGTTTGGATGGGGCCCTGGGCAGCCTGATCTAATACTTAATCTGTAGGCTGGCAACCCTGCCTTTGGCAGGTGGGGTTGGAACTTATGATCTTCGGAGTCACTTCCAATCCAAGCCATTCTATGGTTCTATGAATTGCTATTTGTTATTCATAATTCCTGGCATGTGATGATCACATTGCTTTTGCTCACTGACTGGACAACTAGAATGTCTCAACAGAAAAAATGATGGGAAGAAAGCCACATTTTTGCTAACAATTGCTAAACTTCTGTAATACATATATCTTTCATACCCAAGTATTTCTAAAAAAAACATACATGGCACAGCTCTAAGAATTGCAGTATAGTAATTTTGAGTAATTAATTTGCTTATATATGCACGAGTCACTATTTTCATTTGAGAAACTGCTTTATTCAAGACTTTGAATAGTATTCAACCATGGTTAGAAAGGTAATTAAATTGTCAGAAGTAATTTAATTTACCACTGTTCGCATTTATATGGAGTAACAAATTTGGAGTTGGTAGAGTCTTCTTCATTTTTGATAGTGTCCCCCCCCAGTTGCTGGAGTACTCAAAGATATTGGTATTTCTCTCTAAAAATATGTTCAGAACAGCTTACAAACTCAATTACCAACTCTGTAATCTTAAGTGAGTTGTTAATGTCAACTGTGTCACTGGTGTTTTTGCAACTGATTTCTGTGGAACTTTCTATGGAGATGCTGCACAGGTAGGTACATAGGAGATGGTGCTTGGTAATTTTAAAAAAGCAACATATTGGAAGGGAACTTTTACATTTTCATGGTGCAGCAATGTACCAAACTCAAAATTTAAGTTTTCTTGGCACGGTTCCTACAGATTAGTTAAGAAAGGATCTGTGCTTCAATATTCAAGATTAGAATGAGTTCCCATTCTATTCTTCTCCGTGCACTAACGCGTGAGAAGGGAACTGTACAAATTCTGTGTAGATGATTTGGTAGAGTAACCTTGAAAATACATATAAAAAAGTGCACTTCCCATTTAACTAGCAGGTTTCATGCTCATGCTTGACTTGTATACAATATAAGATTGATAGGCTATGTTCTTTGCCAGCATAGCTGTAGGTAGACTTCTACTAGTAAAAAAAGTCTTGACTTAGACGTGTTAAATGAAATCAAGAGTTGTCATGCCTTTAAATTATATCCAGAGTGTTGCAGTATTGAAATTCATCAGAGTAATTTTGATTATTTCTACAGTTCCCAAGGAAGTTTACAAACAGGAGGGCCTTGAGGGAGATAATTCCTGCACAAGGCAGGATTATGGGACACAAGGTCAGGCCAAGCTGTTGGCTCAGCAGGAGTACAGTTGGCTGGGAATGGGAAAGGAGTGTGTTCCTTGGTGCCAAGGACAGCAGTTGTACTGTATATCTATCTATATCTATAACTATATATGTATTTATGACATTTTTAACAATAAACTATGAAGAGTAAATGCCTCACCTTTGTGTATTACATCTGGAGAATTTCCTGTAATTAAGTGTCTACTTGAGAATAGATTGCATAGGTCTTGCAGCCACCTTAAACTCTTGAAATTGCATGTACTTGAATATTTTTACATGTGAATAATGATCTAATGTCTGCCTGTTGAGCCTACATTGCCAACAGTGCAACACCATGAAACACTGCAGCAATGAGCCTGAGTTGTAAGCAAGGGTTTCAGGAGAAATGGGTTGGTTAATAAAATTCCCAGCCCATGAATGAAGAAAGAGCAGCAGAATGATGAGCTGGAAGAGAAGTAGGCTTGTAAAACTTGTGGGACATACTGATGTGTCAAGGGAAAGTAGCTAGAGGCAAGACTCATCAGAAACAGTACATAAATATATAACATCTGAGGAAAAACAGGAGTCTATTAGGTACGGGGAGTATCTGGAGTCCTGTTCTTCATCCAGTTC